AATAATAATAATAATAATGACGTTCTGATAATCGTTTTACATATATATTACTTTTTTATCTAACAATGATGATCTTCGGAAATTCTTTTTTAAGGGCCCAACTCTTAAAATTTTTAATTGAAAATTAAAAATTTTCAAATTATTAAATTTATCCGTTAAAGTTGCCTCTTTTGTCTATGTATTTCAAATGTGTACATAAATGATAGTACATGCTTGCAGAAATTAAAAATCGATTGCTTAAAGAAATTATTCTCCCTGGATATAATTTTTCTGATAGTTGCAAATTACTCTCGGAAAACATGATATAATAAAAAAAGATCTTGGGATGCTAACTTTCTTTTTTTTTAAAAAAAAAACGGATTTAACAATAATCAAATTTGGTAGAATTAATTTTGGGAGGTTGATAAAAATTTTAAAGTATCGAAGATTAGATCCAAAAAAGATTAAAAGTTACATAAATGTATTTCCGAATATAATTAATACATCTAGATGATTGTTGTAACATGATTACATTGTGGTAAATATTGAATAAACGAATATGAAAATAAGAATCAAGTTTATTTCATTTACATAAATGTCAAAATTAAATAATTAAAGTCAGAAATAAAAATAATGTCAATTATGCTAATTAATAATGTGTTGCAAAATATCACTTTAACGGCTTAATATCCAGATGTTTTCTCCAATATGAAATGACAAATATCTGCAAATCACATAGAAATCAACGTACATAAGTAACAGTCTTCACAAATATACAAAAAAAATTCCATTATCAAAATATAATTTACCTGTTTAGGGTCCATTTCTTCCCTGACTTTCATCCAATCATCATACTTCTCGTACAAACTTCTAACCCTTTTGCCATACCCTTCAGGAATATGTTTGCCCCAATGACATCTAAAATTGTGAGGATAAAAGGCATCCCAATATGGTTGAAAAAATTTACGCGAAGTACCAATAAGATTTTTTTGAAAATATTGAATATCAATTCGTACGCTGTCAGTATTGTATGATTGTGACAACCAAAAATGTGATTTTTTAGTAGTATAGATTTCTGTTGCAAAGGTTCCTACTACTTTTTTACCACCGGTTTTATATAAATGATTTAAAGTATGCATGACATCTGTAAAAATCATACATTGAAATTTTTATGAAAAGAGAAAGACGAATAACTATATAAGAATATCCAAAAAGAACCAATTATTTACCACTGGTTTTCTCAATGGGGAATAATAATTCACTAAAAGTTGCTGGAAAAATTGTGTCCGAAACCTAGATACGAATTTTATGTAAATCTAATGGAGATAAATTTTAAATGAAAAAAAAGAACTTAAAATATTTTAATTGCCTTATCATCCATAGGTAATCCACTGTACCATTTATCTTGAAACTCTTGAATCCCAATTGGATTAAATAAATTTATTAAATAGGCAGCAATCTTTTTATAAAATTTATTCTCTGATGAGAATAAATTCAAAGCTATCATCACCAAACTAGCAACTAATTGAGCAGGAATCTCTGAACCCGCAAAAACAGGAAATTCATTGTATGATTTAATAGGTAATGGTATTCCATCAGCACTTTGAGTAGGAATAGGTTTAGCTTTCCAGATTGTTAATCGATTGACACCATCTTGAGGCCACCAAAACATTCGAGAATAATCAGCATCGTATTCTTTACAGTTCGTAAAAAATTCATAAATGCTTGGAATTTTTTGCTCTTTATCACCATCACCAAGTAAATCAATTGGACAGCCAACATTGAAATCGTGTGATAATGGGGTAATCGGAGCAACAACTTGGTTGCCAGTAATATAATAATTTTTCATAAGTTTGAAGGTAACCTTGGTAATAATTCCAAGAAGACCTAGAGAAACACCTGCAGCAAGAAACTTGGAGTTATCAGCATCGTCAAT